TCTTTTTAAATCTAATATTATAAATCTATCCGGATAGATACTTTATCTTAACAATAGAAGCGCGAATAACCGCAGGAGGCAACTATCATCATCCGTTTCAAATACGTGACCACAATGTAAACTCTTCAATGTCGAAACTTGGTCGGATTGGACAAATTTTAGGAATTTACCCCAGAGCTATACGTCGCTCTATAGCTGTAGAAGGAAACGAGATTACCGGCTCTGGCTTTGATTAGTACCCGTCGAGATTGTTTCTGATCGATAGTTGAATCGCACCCTCGAATTTTAATTTTACACAATATCATAGTTATTTAGAATCTTATATTATTATCGTATTATATTAAATATAATTTATACATTTATTCTTCGACTTAGATATACGGATGTTACTACGTTATTCAATAAAAAAAAATGCGTAAAAAAAAAAAGAAGAAATATGAACGAAAATATTACCTATTCTCCTTTAGAAAGAATCTGGAGATTGCACTGGTAGAACATGTGAAAAGTAAGAAAAGTATTCATACCTGGAACAGGGTATGGTTCTGGATAGAAACTTTTACCGGCCGAGTCCATGTTAAGCGGAAGTAGAGCAACGAAACGAAAAGTAGAGCAGTTCCCGGGGAGGAATAGTTCTCAAAGAAATATCTATGTAATACATGACTTTGCTTTAAATTGCACAAAGGTCCCTTTAGCGATATAACATTTGGCGTGAATATGCGTACTTTTCGCCACTGCGATCTGTAATACACTACGATTCTCTTTGAAAAATATGTACAAAGAGGGTCTCTGGAATGTATAAATGTAATCAAGGACATCTCGTGACAAGTGATCATACACACGTGTTAAACTTTTTAGATATTATAAATTTTCTTTTTTTGTAAATCTGCACTAAAAATATAATAAATAACTCTAGTAATATGTTCAACCTAACCTAACATAACCTATTTAAATTTTCTTTTCAATCTTCGTGCACTTTCGATATAATTCGTTTCTATTTATATTTTCGATTTAAATGCACTTCGATATCGAGTATTTTCAAATTTGAAAGAAAATTGTCTTAACGTCTCACTAAAAAAGAATCGAATAAAGGTTTCACAGGATGATAAATAAGAACGATAGTAGCATTTCGAGGAGAAAAGCAAAAGAGAGAAATTTGAGATGAAACACGAAGAATTGCAACAATTCTTACCAGCATCATTGTACCGTTAACCTAACCGAGAAACTTTGTAATTTGTTCGCCCGTTGAAAATGTATCGCGTAAGATTTACAAACATCAAGATACAAGCACGAACGTGTACAACGAGAAACAAGATTACCTTCTAATAAGATTTATATAACTACAAGTCTGTTTACCCGCGGTACGATATACCATGGAAAATTCTTATTTTACAATGAGAGCACCGACAGTGATTTGCATAGAACGAGTTACGCCATCCCTTTTTCTCGTTAATGTTAATTGCATCTTGCTTGATGAATACGCCCGATCCAAGAGACAACGGAGCTGCATTAAGGGCTATTTATCGTTTACACATTACGATAAGTAGTTGGACCGCCTCAAGTTTTCCTGCCAAGCGAAACTAGTTTACAAACTTTCCAATAATAAACGAACTTTCTAACTCGTTCCTTCCACGAACGTACATGCGTAAAAGCGTTATAATAGATAGAATAAATACACACGTGACGTACATGTACGTCTGCATTAGGGTGATTAATCTTTCTATATTTTTTAGGAATTTTCATATTAGAGATAAATTTTTTGCAACATCAATGTGGATAAATACACGTACTGATGAGTCGAAATAATTATTTTGAACGAAGAAATAGTCTCGCTCATCATATTCGAATATAAAACGAATAATTTATTTGGTTTATGCATAGTATTTTATGCAAATTTTTCTCAATGGAATTTTAATGGGGGGGGGGGAAAAAAAAAGAAGAAACAGTAGAAAAATGAATAATTCATCAAAGTGAATTCGAATAATTCAATTTACGACATGAGATCGCGAGTAAAAAGATACGATGAGAAAGACCTTTCCTCAGTATTATATTATTTATGACTATTTATGTAAATTCGCATTTTTACGAACAAAAAAATGTTGGAATCTAATTATTTCCTTTTTCCTTTGAAATCGTCGATATTTTATCCCTATAAATTCATAAATGTCTCTTCATCTACAAAACCGACGATAAACATTCTAAATTGAAAAGAACTAGAAATTAAGAATGGAAAGAAAACGAAGAGCGAGCACAGTCGAAGGATAGCGAATTCTTGGTCTCGACCACTTAACCTTCTTAACTTTAATCGATATATTTCAGACGGCCCTTCCATAATTAGAATAATGGAAGGTCTAATAAGGGGTTTCTATGCGAGGAAGATAATTGTGGATGGAAAGTTTAAAAGCATTTCTGGTGCCTTTGGTGATTAGAGGAGTTCAGTGGGCGCGGTTACTTAGCTAGTTAACTCGTTCGCTTGTGCGGCAAGTCGGATCGAAAGCACGTTTCGCTGACACGATTCTATCCTTCCTCTTATCTGTGCAATTCGAGTAAAACACAACAGATTTTCAAATAACATTAACCGATACACTATTATGCGGGTACTATCGCAGTGATTTGCATTTTCGACAAACGAATGTCGCATTTTTATTGTGCTTCTGTGAATCGTTTATATTCATTTATATTTGAATTTCGAATATCTGGTTTTTTTTTGCATATTATATAAATTAAGCGACAGAGCAAACGATTTAGCAAGCCTCTTGAAATTTGAAAAACTAAAATTCGAAAATAAAATAATCATTCGTTAGATAAATAAGATGTATAATAATGTTACATAAAATTTCCAAACAATTATATCGTGTTTTAATAAATCGATACGATAATTTTTAACGATATTAAAGAGAAGAGCGAGTTTAAAAGGTCGTTTTAAATTTATAGCGATATATGCAGCGAGTAAAATTATTCGGTATTGAATTCAATCTGGATTTTAATAGAATCGCAACGAAATGTTAGACGAATGTGTGAAATTTATGGACCCTTATCGAATTACACTCGACACTCGATCAAAAACGAATACGTAGCGAAAAAGTTTCTCGTGTTCACGATTTAAAATCTCGAAATATTCTCTATTCGTATTTTATCGATAATTTAACGATAAATGCACGAGCAACTATAAATTTTTCTCGATTACTTTGATGAATAATTAAAATTATTATTATTATTTTGTTACGAAACGAGTGAAAGAACACACGAAGGCTTCGTCGCATCACTAAACGTACGTCGCACTGAAGTATACACTGAAGTTTGCTGCAGTCGATACACAAAATATTTCACTCGACGAATACCTATATTCATGGATATCGTTTCCTATATATGTATACATACATGTATACGTTTTGCGATATACAGTCATATACACACACGAGTATATTTCACGTAATATTTGCTGTAAGTTCCGCGTCTGTTATGTACATTGAAATTTTTGTTCTTTCCTCGTTTGACTTTATATATACGTAACATGATTTACAATGTTATTGCTTAGGTTAGAAAATTGCGTGTAAATAATTTAGTGTCCTGTACCAGTCACGTATGTGCGTAGACGTTGAGATAGAGAGAAAAAAAAAGAAGGATCGGGTAAATGCAACATGTCTGACATTTGATACATTGAAAAAAAAAATCCATAGCTAATAATAGACATCAAAAACGTTTGGAATAGAAGAATCATGAAATAAATTTTTGAGTTTAACCTTGGATTAAATGGATTGATCTATCACGAAAAATTCCACAAACGGGTTAAAAAGTCACGAGATCACGATTAAAAAAAAAAAAAATCAATGAAGTCGAACGTACGATCAAAAATTGTAAAAATTTAACAAAACCTTTTTTGCCGACTGCACATACATTTGTACAGGAATAGGAACAAGCAGAAAATTTCTTTCCAAAAATTTCCACGGATTATTTATCGCTATTGAAGGAAGATAGATAATAACAATTTTCGAACGATAAAATGAAGGTTATATTTTCGAATCCTGTTCGTCTCCATTACTGCAAATGAGAATAAATGTGGCAAGTATAACGCAAAATATTTGAGTGTGTTGATATATGTAAGATAAAATTTTTTAACACGTGTTTACGTATTATTATCACGTATCGTTTATTTAAAGATCAAAAATCAAAAATTTTTTCCCCCCTTTCTCTTTAATTTAACTCGAATGAAAAATCCAATGAATATTTGGATTTTATTACTCGTTTATGAATTCGTATTGTTTTACGTTTCATATATAAACGATATAATTTTCACATTATGAATGTAAACGACACAGAGGAGAATAATGTGTCTAACTATTCGGACAAATTTATTATATTACAAATTTCTATTAATCTACCTTTGTGTGTTTATACCATAATAAATTAATTATTTTCAGAATAATTAAATTTACACATATGTAATGACGTGTCAAGAGGAATATATATCTCGATGGTGATTACAATTAAATATCGATACAATTTCATTATTTGTCCCCTTTAGAAAGAGAAATTAGAGCCGTTATAACCCGATATAAAAAAAAAAAAAAAAATAACTCCCCTTTCGAAAGATAACGAGGCAAGTACTTTTTTTTTTTTGTTCTTTTATAGCAATTCAGGTATTATGAATTTCCTTTCATGAATCAAAAAAGGAAGGATACATAGAGGTGTTTAAATTAACGCTTGATCCTTGAATAAAGGGCAAAAAACCAGTTTCTCCAAAGTTTTGTTGCATAAAAGGTTAATTACTTAGGCGATTAAGCTCGCTGGACAATAAGGAGGCCGAATTAAACAAGCAGATTGATCGATTTACCCTTTCTCGCTTCATCCACGAGGCGTTTAAACTGTAAGAAAGTCGACAAATATTTGTATTGTTCCACCTCTCTCTCTCTCTCTCTCTCTCAGAAAAATTCCTAAATCACCGTAATTAATCGTTAGATACTTTTCCAGGAAATGACAATAAAATAATTTTCGAAGCGACCATGGATTTACCGCTCGATTCAAAGTACGTAAAAATTTAAAAATTGCATCACGAAATCTCAATCACTTACGAATCTTTTTTTTTTTTTTTTATTTTCTTCAAAAAGTAAAAAGAGAGAATAAAATCGAATATAGTACACTCGCGTATAATAATAAATTAGAATGTTTCACGTTCACCGGTCAAGGGATATCAAGAGTACGAAAGACTCGGCGGGCGTGACGGATTGCACGACGAACGAGGACAGCGCTTCTTTCATCCTGGAAAAGAAGGAGAGCCCGGTGAACCCGTACAATAGGGTCGATTGGACCAAGATGTGCACGAAATGGACATCCTCGGAAAACGAGATCTGCATCGTTAACAGCCTGCCACAACTTGACTGCAACTCGTTCCCGAAATCGTACATGGACACGTGCTCGTGCTGCCCCCGGGACATATTCGATACTAACTTGGACGTCATGAGCGAGAGCTACAGAAGCGCCATGGTTGGCAAGGACGAGGACTGCTGTAAAGTTACGTGGGAGAAGAAGGAACGTTATCGGAAAATTAAAATGAAAGTCGTTAGAGCCATCAAGGTATATATGTATATATATATTAAAAGTTGGCGAGAATTTAAATCTGCGTTTTAAATAATGAAGAGTTGGATATTATTTTGGAAATTAATCGTTCGAAATTCGTGGCGAATAAATTTATTACCAAGCTTCCGTAATTTCGTACGATTTTCTTTTGAGGATTTGTTTCAAGAACGTGTAATGTTCCAGAGACACAAAATATTTTTGATACGAGGCGAATTACCGAAATTGAAGGAAGCTCTGGAGAAGAGAGGTTGGGTGCAAAAATACGAGGCAACAAAAACGAGAAATTTACCTTACGGTTAGTTTCCCCGCCGTTTCTTAATTAAATCTTTTTCTTTTTTAAAATTCTACTCTCTTTAATTAAAAATATTGACGATATATATATATATATATATATATATATATATATATT